CCTCCCCCCCTCCACGGCCAAGGAGAGTTTACAAGGCGGCTGTTTTGGGAAAAGGGAAATTCCAGGGCTGGTCCCTAAAAAGGATGATGACGACAAGCGGGGTTGCATGAAATGATGAGCGTGGCCGTGTTCACACAAAAGGCTAACCCGGGCGGGGGGCTTGCCTGCCACTTGCCACGGTTCACGCAATACCCAGAACCACAACGTTTGCGCGGTATTGTGAGCTATAAACAAGCCAAGCACATGTTAGCTGGCATGGGCCAACTAAGGGTCATTTTACCTAACCTTCTCCAGCACGGGCGTTCAGGATACACTGAATCTCCTGAAACTCTTTTCTGGGTTGGCACAGTATATTGCGCCCTAAAACCAGATGGGTTGGATTCACACAGCAGACACTAACCCCTTCCTAAAACCTAAGGTAAGATGTAACAACCTGGGAGGGAATTTGGTGTCTTGAGTTTACCTGACCTGAGTAAGTATGTTCTGTGAAGACTGCCGATGGCTGGGTTTCAATGTGTGTACTATTCTGGGACATCTTAGTTCCCATGAAGTAATCAAGGATTTTATTCTTGTGCAATACACCTTTTATTAGAAATGGAAGCGGCTTTGTTGTGTGAATGTCTTACAAGCTATCAGAAACAATACAAACAATTGGTGCAATGATTTTGGGCTTATAATTGAGTACTCAGAAATACATTTGACACAGATTATTTATCTTAAAAGCTTTTAAATGTTTTTAAGTGTTCAGTGAAGTAGCCTTTTGGAATAATGGGTGCACTACTACCTGCGAGTTGTTGTGTGAACAGTTTTCAAGAGGGTTGCTTTTGAGCCGGCATCCCAGAAGGAGCAGGAACTTGATATCTGGGGGAGTCTTCCCAAATTAGTCCTTTCCATTTGAGACTGTTCAGATTTCCCAACTAGCAAATCTATGCTATCCGGATTCTGAGGATACAGAGGTTGGGGAAGTCTGATCTGTGTAATGTGTGGTATAGAAACAGGGATTCCTAGCTATGTTTATCCAAATTCCATACTTGGACACTGTCTTTACTAGGACTAATCAAATGGCACGAAAGAATAGAATCCTACATCAACATTCGCCTGTTCATGTCTTTTGCTACTGAAATCAATACTTGTGTGTAAACTATCCTTTAAGTCAGATTTACTGAGCCAAAAAAAAAAAAAAGTGATTTCCTGAGCAGGAAATTCATACTGCATTTATGTGGTCCTTATCAAAGCTAAAATCTGCTTTGTACAAGAGGCACATTAGCTGTATTTGCACAACACATTCAGCCAGATCAGATAAAGATGTAGCAGGTGTATTGGCTCAACAAGTTAATCTTGGTTAGTTTATGAGTGTCACTGGGGTCCTTGCTCATTTGGTAACTTTACAGGTCAGTGTATTGTACAAAAAAATCGGTTCAATAGTATAGTAAACAAGTTACATGTATTGTGTGAATGTAATCTCTAAATGTATACTTGTATTCAGAGAACTAGCAGCCATAATTGAAAAGTAAAGCATTATCAAATGTGTTGTGTTCATATGACATATTAACCCGCGGTTGATGTAACCTAGCTTATTCACCCCAATTTTCTATAACAATAATCCATAAAGTTAACTATGAGCTATTTATATAATCCACTAAGCAAAAAACAGGTGGTCACTGTATGCTTTAGCTTATGTTTCAAACATAAGACATTTGTGATGTAGAAACAACCTGAGATCTTAAGAAAGTCATGTTCTCTGTTGGTCTTAATAACTTCTAAGAACATCCACAGCAGAAAGCAAATACAGCCTATGATGGAGACTATATCATCATTTACATTATCCTGACATCACGATAGACCCATGTTTAATCTAAGATTCACTGAACCCAATTGTCTAGGTTTCCTTAATACAACCAGTATGTTCATTCAACACATTTAATGCTAAACTCAGATTAACCAACATTGCTGCACTCACACAATATGCTATGCTCAAACAATACGGTATAATAATAATAATAATAAATTTGATGCCATCCAATATATTGAATTAACATGATAGTCTGGTTCTCACAATTTCCCAAAATAATGGCTGGGTTCACATGACTGCACAAATCACCCAACCTGTCAATGACTGATCTAGCATTTCTGCAAATGCAGGTACAAATCCATATGGATGGATCTGAACATGTGTTCATCTCAAATGGGGCTGTTTGTATTGTGCAAACACAGCAAGAATATGATGGAATTCTGGAAACTGGCATCTTAGCTTGAGAGTGAAAATGGATTTTTGGGAGGGGGATGTCAAGTCCCCTTCTTAAATGATCATCATGGAGAAAGTCTATGTGGTCACTAGGAGTTGAAAACAACTTGATGGCACATAATCGAAAATCAATGTCCAATCCAGTTTAATAACTATAATATTAGAAGTATCACAGTGACAGTGACAAGGCAAGAAATCGGTACTCACAGAATAAAACTTACTTCACATACCCATTATAATTTATGGTGCTATTTCCCAAAAGGATCTGTGTGGTGTAATGGTGAAGGTGTTGGGCTAGGTATGGAGAAAGCCAGATTCAAATCTCGCCTTGGCCATTGGAAATACTGGTTGACCTGAGCCAGTTATTCTCTTGGCCCAACCTACCTCATAGGATTGGATTGTGGGGCAAAACAGGAGGAGAGAACCCTAGCTATGCCTCTTTGAGCTCTGGAATGAAAGGCAGGATCTAAATAAAATAATATGCTTGCAGGAACTATATTGAACTGAATGGAATTTATTCTGGAGCACACACATAAAAAAGGTACAGTAAATGAAAAAGTATTTTCGCTAGTACAAGGGTTACTGAATCAGGATATTTATTTATTTAATTACATGTGTAAGGCTACCCAACTCTGTGACAACTCTGGGCAGCACACATTTTGATTTAAGTTAGATATACATTACTTATTTTAACTGCTCTGTAGGGGTGCCTGCAGAAGACTCCAACTTGAACATGCTCAGCGGTCGGGCGCTGCTTTAGGAGAATAATCAATTGTGGCCGTGCCTGGGGCTTCATATTGATACCATGGTCCATCCCCCCTGTAGTACATCATATGAGTTGCCTCCGCTTCCAGCTTCCTATTAGAGGAAAGGAGAGGGAAGAGAAAAAAGAAACCACAAAGTAATAAATATTCTTTAACATTAGCCATATGATTATTTATTTATTATTAAATTTATATGTCATCCATCTCCCCCGGAGGGTGACTCTGGGCGGCTTACAATTAAAAACCAAGACAATAAAAACAATAAAAATATAAATACCCCCCAATTAAAATCACAAGTAACAAATCTATAAAAGCCAGTATACAATTCAAGAAGATGGGGGGAGCAGTATCAATCATCCCACCAGCCGGTTCCAGCGATGCGAGCCCCCATCAGGCCATCTGGCATAGCCATGTTTTTACACCTTTTCGGAAGGCCAGGAGACTGGGGACAGCCCGCGCCTCAGCTGGAAATTATATTTTAACAGCATGGTAAAGGGACTGTGTTTAATTTGTCAAGCAGAGAAGGAAAGCTGTATGCTGTTGGATACCTGTGTCCCTTCTACAAAGCTCCTTGCCCCAACCTGGTTGGCCTCCAATCATGTGGGCTTCCATACCCAGAATCCTACAGGGAGCATGGCCATTGCTGAAAAATCTAACGTCTAAAGTCCATGCATCCTTAGAGCAACCCAACTGGGGGAAGCCAAACTAAATTACAGACTTAAGATTTCATATTGCTCCTTTTCCATCAGGAATGGATAACCTGCACCCTTTTTGGCCTTCAGACTGTTTCCTCCCCAGCTTGAAAAGAGATGTGGTTGCTTTAATGAGTTAGCTAATCAGCCCACCTGCTCAGAACACATGCATAATTTTTTGAAAGACTCTGTTAGACATGCCTCTAAGGAAGTGGAGGTTAGGTAAAATGTCCTCTCTCAGAGCAAGGGACTAAACTGGATTATCTCTTGGCAGATATTTGCAGAGCTTAAAAATGGTTTAAAATATGAGCCCATAGGAAGTGTCATCTGATGGGACCCAGGAGGAGAATTTTTCTGCTGTGGCACCCGCCCTCTGGAACATCATTCCCCCTGAGGTCAGATTGGCCCCAACCTTCTTCGCCTTCTTGAAGGCCTGAAGATATGGCTTTGCCATCTGGCCTGGCAAAATGCAATAACACGCAAAGTCGCTCTATTGCTAGGGAAACTGAGCATGCTCTCCTGCAGATTATGTTTTCAATGGTTTTTATTGCTTTTAATGTTTTTTATTATTTTTGCTGTTACATTTTTGGATATTTTGTTGCATTGTTTTTAACTTTGTATACTGCCCAGAGACACGTACTGTATGTGAGATGGGTGGCTATGTAAATTTACCAAATAAATAAGGCTTTTCAAATCTTGTCAGAGAAAGTCCATCTCAAAAGCATGTGTGAAACAGGGAGGAAAAGTACTGTGGGATGATGATATGATTATATCCATACTCTTTATACAGAAAGAAAGGAAGGGGAGGGGAGTGATATCTGAATGATAGAAAAAGCAAAATCATAATACACAATGACATTTTTTGTTCCCCATATCATTTAATAGTCAACCCTTCCCATATGTACTGCCTTGAGCTTCCAGAGGAAAGGTGGGATAGAAATACATAAACAAATAAATAAGTGGTAACTAAATAAACAAAACAATGCTCAGCTTCTAGCTCACACCTGAGTCAATCCTTCAGTATTTAAAAGCACAGGTAGTTTTCTAGTTTCTCCTACCTTAACTTCATTTTCTCAGTTTCAATATATATCCTAGCCATTTCCTTTTCATAATCCTTTTCAGGGGGGTCATAGACGTAGCGTGCAATCCACCGACTTATAGGGTGCTGGAAGGAAAGCAAAGGCAGGCATTAGAAAAGAATTGTGATCATCACAATTGTAATTTGCTTGCAGAAGGAAGCTACAGACATGGGCTGGTTGGACCAGCGTCAAGGCACAAGAAGTTCCAACAACTCAGGGGATGAGAGTCTCAAAATAAAAAAAGGTTAGAAGGAGGTAAATATCCATCTGGGCTGGGATTAAAGTAGCATATTCATCCTGTGGAAAGAGAAGCAGTAAGAGGTAAGATAGATGGAAGGTGGATGGAGGGGATATCCCCAAAGTCAAGCAAAATATTGACAAGTTCATACAAGGACTTCAGGATATATCCTGAGAACAGGCTGAAAGAATTTGGGATGTTCAGTCTAAAGACAAGGAGATTTAGGGGAGACATAATAATTCTGTTCAGGTCCATAAAGGGAAGGAAGATGGCCAAAATTTATCTTCCGTGGTCACAGAAACTAGGGCCAGAAATAGCAGGTATAAGCTGCAGTTACCTAGATTTCTTTTAAATGTAAGGAAAAATGTCATGACAGTAAGATCTGTAGAACGGTAGAATACTCCACCTAGGTTCTCTCTCTGGTGATTTCTAAGAAAAGGCTGGACAGTCAACTCACATGGGGGGGTTCGGTTGGTTTCCTGCTCATTGCAGAGGATTGGACTAGATGATCCTTGTAATCCCTTCCAACTCTACAATTTATGACTCCGTGACTTCCGCAATCTGTCACCCGCTACTTGTGCTGGACTACAAATCCCATCATCTCCAGTTAGTATGATCAAAGGGCAGACAGATTGGGAGCAATGCCCAGAGCAACTAGAGGGCATCAAGCTCTGGAAAGATGAAGGAAGGAATGAAGAGGGCAGAATGAGAAAAGAGGCAAAATCTAAACTTCAGAAGAAATTATAAAGAATCAAAAGGGGGAAGAACAGAATTCAGTGCAAGACAGCCTGCTCTTGATGTTCCTGGTTTGTATGATTATCCTGATTTGACTTCTGGTATCTCCAGGGTTTGTTTCTGAATGATCCCTAGAGTCTGTCTCATTCATTAATTCATTCATTAAATTTGCATGCCAGCAAATCTTCTAGACTTGTGGCAGCTTATGACATACTAAAATGCAATAAAAAACAACTTCCACGGTGTAATGAAAAGTTGAAAGCACAATACTCAAACATAATAATGATGGCCCCTAATAACAGAAAATAGATCACAATAATTCACCAAGGACCCTCTTGTCAAGCCCCATGCAACTGGGCAAGGCCAAGGAATCAAGAACTACACAGATTTCAGTAAGGTGTCTTAATGCTAGACTGGAAGTAAATGTAGAATCTTGGAAACTGCATTTCTCAGCCTCATTTATAGCAAATTCTGATTTGCGTCTTCCCAGATTTCTCTTCACCAGGGCTAAATTGTTGTATATGAGATAAGCTGTCAACGGACTTGCCCGCTGCTTTCTCATCTATTCCTTTCCCAGCCTCCCCACAATCTTTCACATCTCTGGAAAAGCTCAGTCTTTAAAAGTTTCTGAAGGGCCATCAGCAAAGAGGCCAACCTAATTTCTGGAAGGAGGCTGTTCCATAACACAAGAGCCTTGATGGAAAAGAAGTGCTTTCTGGCCTGAGCTCCCACCTCATGAAAGTGGGGTAGCAGCAGCAGCAGCTTCTCCCAAGAAAAATTAAATTATTTGGGCTAAATGGAATGATTTGGTTCCATGTAATCTTCAATGGATTTTTCATTTTAGAATCCAGAGTCTATATTCTCCATAACAAATGAAGAAGAGAGGTAAGTTTATTTCAGGGCTGCAACCAATAGCTGAGCATTTGTCAAGTAAAATAGAACAGACTAGGAAAAAAAGATTGTGTCTGGCAAAGTTAAGGTTACGGAGAAAAGGAGAAGAGAGTGGATAAAGTGAGGAAAAGCTACAGGTTATCATCAGGTTGAAGCTGAAATTGCAGGCAATTGCCAAACAGTCACCAAGGTCGAACCCAACGCCTAAGTAAACCAAATTGAGCTGAGTTCCAACTTACTCAGTAAACTCAGTAACTGCTTTTCAGAAAGTCCAAAGTTTGATCTTTGGCTACGTCAGTTTAAAAATGAATCAAGTAACAGGTGAGGGGAAAGAATTCTGCACAGGCTAGCTGGACAACGGTCTTACTTTTTTAAAAACAGCTTGTTATTTTCTACATTTTAACTTTTGCAGGAAGAAAAATGAAAGTCTGCAATCTACTTTCCATTAACTGTACTGCCTTTCAGAGTGACCCCAATGTTGGCTTCCAAGATTTCCTCCAACAGTTCTCTTATGTCATTCTCAAAGCAATGCAGAGTTCTTACTGGGGTCTTGATTTAAATGCAAGCAGATTCTCTGGAAACTCGTTCAGTTGTGAATATGATCCTTAACAGTATCTTGCATATACATAGTTCAAAATAACATTGTCTTAATAATCAATACAACAAATTAGGGGATAAAAAAATGAAACCAGTTATTATATTTCAAGTTGTTTAATCTAAATTTCAAGAGTTTTCTTTCCAAGGCTGACTTACAAAATTTTTCTTCAGTTTTGTACTCACTTTATAATATTCCCAGTGGTCTGGAATATAACCTTCTGGGATCTCAGCCAATTCAGCTTCACCTGGGCAGAGACAAGGTCATTAAGTTTAGTGCAACAGACATGTAAAAAACATACTGTTGGAAGAATAGGAAGTCAACAAATGTTGCCAGTCACAATTTATTATCAGCCAAAAGGGAAGATGAATCCTACATTTGTAATCTATTGAATGGATGTTTATTCACCAAGTTCAATGGACTTTTGTGAAACCAAGCATGCATAGACTTCCACAGCTATTTAAACATAAAACAAAAAATATATAATACGTCCTGTAGTTTTACACAGGAAAGATTGTGCAATATTATCTTTTGCTGTTTTGATTCACGTTTTGCAGCATGACAATCATCTTAATTTATCATCTTTGTATTATCATTTTAATCCATGTTTCCATGTTTTTTCCAAAAAAAAAAAGATCCCAAAGAGGGAAGCAATTAAAAGCAGATTCCCATAAATTAAAAAAGAATGATTACAACAAAACATAAAAACATTTAACATGCTTAATTTAACATGCTTAAAACCATAAACTGCTTTGAGCTACGATGTAGAAAAACACCAAAGAGCAGTGCCAATTTAATGAATTTGGGGATGATCGGATATATCTGAAGTTGGGGCTGGAAACGGATCAAAGACAATATGTTGATGAAGATTCTCAGTCATCCAGGTGGAATTATCTAGAGGTTGAGTCACAGCAACTGGACTTCTTTTCTTTGGGTTTGATACGTTTCGCTGCTTGTCCAAGCAGCTTCTGCAGTCTAGAAAGTTGGCTGGGGGGACCCCATAAATGTCTTCCAGGGTGGCTGCATTTCTCAGGAACATGATGGGTTCTCACTAACATGATGGGCTCGTTGAAGGGACAATAGGAGATGTGATTAGTAGAGTCTTTGGGATGTAGATGTCTTACTCCTAATCCCTCACTCATCCCCAAGTGGGTCGTTAACGATT